TGTGCTCTTCCGATCTATTCTAAAAAAGAAAATATTATTGTACAATGTTATTGCGCAATGTGTTTGCAGAAATATCAATAAAAATAATCTTATATTCACATATGTAATCCTAATTATATCGATATTAATAAAAGCGATAAGTCAGCTTTAGTTTTTAGGAGTTTGCGTTGTTCTGTACCTGAGCGCGCCAACTTTAGACGATCTGATTAGTTAACTTTAAACACTTATAATTCAAAAACTATTACAGCCTCAACATTTTGGTATTGGAACTTTTGTCTTAAAATGATCTCAGGAATCTACCCTTAAGCGTTGGTCCGGTTATTACGGGACACCCTGTATATATATATATGAAAAAAATGGAATGCATTTATTATTCTTGCTACATATTCATCGAAATAATTGTTACATTTTTATTCATCGTTTTGTTTAGTGTGTGAATATGAATGCATTTTTAAAATATTACCATCCATTACGTCGTTAGCGAACGCTGATGTCGTCTGCCATAAGTCTTGAATATTGAGACTTAACGTCAAAGTCCAAAGAAAGTTGCCGAATGCAGCCGCCGTTGTTACGATAGAATCGGATAGACTCCGCGGCGCAGATGATTGATGAGATTCTTGAGGGCTGCAAGTTCCTTGATAATCGATGACGGTCACTTTCCTGAAACACCATAAGAATATCTTAATATCTTTTTTACTTCGGAATATTACGATATGTATAATCTTTCAACTTATAATGCAACGTTGTAGAAATATTGTGATGGAATGGAGTTGGAAAATTTTTTATAATTGCAGCAATATTTGAAGAATATTGTAAAAGTATCGCAAGAGAGTAATTAGAATATAATTCCAAACCTTTAGTATAAGATTTTTACATTCCTCAAATTTCTCGGTTAAAATTGAGAAACTCATTATTGATGCTTGCAATAACAATTATGTTATTGAAATATGTACATTGAATTCATTATACATGTGCACGCACTCTTCCCTTCTCTCTCTCTCTCTCTCTCTCTCTCTCTCTCTCTCTCTCTTTCTCTGATGTCATATTTTTTAAAAAACAGATATACAATATTCTTACAATTTTTTTAAATTGTAAGGTGATTCTTTAATAAAGTGCCGAAAATTTGGGGTACTTCACCAGGGCCCACCCAAAATCATAAATATTTGCATTATTTGGATGAAATATTAAAACTACGTATATATTTAATGAAATAATATAAAACAAACAATATTTAGTATACAAACATGATGAATAAAATTACTAAAAAGAAATTAAACTGACAGGCCGTGCGATAATATCGCTGCATAAATGTCGTCGGCAAAAAAATCATAGTGAAACAAAAACTTAGCGTGCCTCGCGGAGATTATAAGAATTGAGTGTATCGATTTCAATCAGACTAGTCGCAATCGAAAACTTGCATCATAATTATAATAAAATTGCCATTAGATTTTTTATTATGGTTTTAATTTCTGAAGTATTTTAATCGAAAATGCATTTGACACATTATAGTAGCGCCACGTACGATGACATTTAAGCAGCGATGTTCACATCGCACGGCTTGTCAGTTTAATATGCCGCCATTAAATTTCACTCGATATTTTGCCATTTCAACATTAAATATCTTTTCAGGATGATAGGTGACCATTACATTTTTGTGACCATTAAAATCGTAATTTTTTAAACAATTATAATCTCGTTTTTCAAAAAATTTTGTTGTCTCGTTTCTGTGCAGTTAGTTAAAAAAACGTCTCCGATCTCAATCTGTCACGGATACGTGAAAAGTTACATTTTCAACATTTTTTTTCTCTCTTCTTTCGTCGGTGACCTACCCTAAAATTTTGCACACGTCAAATTCGGTACTTCAACTTCGTTATATAAAAAAATTAGACATTTCTATCAAAACTTGATTTACTAAAGAACCATCTTAACGGTATTATAATAATATTACGTAATGTATTTGCTGCAATGTGGGTGCCTTCTGAAATATTTTACAATATTTGAATAATTCTATTATTTTATATAAAAATATATATTTATATAAAAAAAATTCAGGCTCAAATAGTCAATCAGAAGAAAAGATATAAAAATAATAAAATTGATATGCCTTTGGAAAAACAATACTTAAAATTTATACATTTTTGACTACACCTATAATAATGAGTACGGATTAAGTTGGTTAAAGAGAAAAGAAACGCTTACGCTCTTACGCTCAAGACGATGCTGGAAGGTAGAAATTACCGACATTTGCATTCTAATGGATAACTCCGGAAACGACTAAATGGATTTAAAAACGCTTTTACAGGATTGAAATAGAGATAAAATGTAAGTGCGCGAACTATAAATTTGTAGTAAAAACGAAAAAAATATTAAAAAATTACTTTTTTCGTACAGCTATCATAACCTGTCACCTGACGTAAACATTTCATTGATACAAAAGTCCTGTAGCTCATATGTACAAAAAAAGTAGTGCGCGCGCATGGAATTACTTGCACGAATAATACAAGACCTTTTGAGCTAATTTGGAAGCGTAGAAAAACAATTATCCCTTAGAATGCAATTGGTGATAATTCACTCACCTAAGGTAAAGACAGCAAAAATTGCGTCTGGCAGTAAGTGCCGGATTTTTCAAGAGATGGCACTTCAATAAGTTAGATAAGGGCATTCCACGTGTTTGAGTGAGACAGAAGATATTGTAAGAAGTTCATTTCGAGATAACACTGACACTGAAGAGTCTGCTTTATCGACCTCGTGCAAATTTTTCTGATCTTCTAGCATCGCCTTAAGACGTCTTTACCTTAGCTAAGCGTACAAATTACCATCATTTGCAGTTGTAAGGATTTCTTTTTTCCTAGGCTTTCAATCGTATCTCAAAAGGTCTTGTATTATTCGTGCAAGTAATGCGATTTGGGAGACGTAAGCATTTTATACACATGAGCTACAGAACTTCTACACTAATGAAATGTTTATGTCAAGTGATAGCTGTACGATTCGAAAAAATGTAATTTTTTAATTTTTTTTCGTTTTTACTACAAATTTCTTTGTTCCCCAAATATGTCTATTTCAATCCTGTAAAAGGATTTTCAATTCCGTTCTGTCATTTCGGAGAAATCTTTACAACTGCAATATGTCGGTAACTCCGAACTTCCAACATCGCCTTAAAAGTAATGATTTTTTTCGAACACAAGAATAAGAATAATCATAACTTTTTGAGCACTAAATAATATACTCCCTCTAAAAAAAAGTGATACATTAAAAATTTACTTCGAATAATCATAACTTGGTAAATAATGAAGATAAAAATGTGCATAAAATTGCAAAATTAAGCTTTAAATTTAAGATTATTTGAATGGCAATTACAAATGGTAATTTTTTTCAAAATGACGGATGACAAAGTGAGAAGATGCAAAATTGTCAAAGGTCAATAATCAAAGGTTCGAGCTTGCGATGCATGGCGTGAATCAGGTATCATAACTCAATGGGACAAATGCACATTACAGTTTGGGACTCTTTCCCTTCATTTTAATATTGTACGTATGTACAATAAAATATTTTTTTATGAAATAAATCTTGAGTTATGAAGCTTGAAAGTTGGAGTACTGTCGGCATTAGCATCATCCAAGGTGTCTAAACACTAGTTAAAACCTTTTGAATGTTGTTCAGGATCATGACATTGATAAAGGCCAACGACCTTGGCCATCTTTAGCTAGTGTTTGGACACCTTGGATGATGCTAATGCCGACAGTACTCCAACTTTCAAGCTTCATAACTCAAGATTTATTTCATAAAAAAATATTTTATTTATATGTTTTGGAAAGTTCTCAAGGCGTGCTATAAGAACATGTAATGAAAAATTGGGGGTTCCATTTAAAAAATTCAAAGTGACCTTGTCCTGACCCTGTCTCTTATACAGGGTCAAACCAATGTTATCATCTTATGTCCCCCTCGAAATCCGAAAACTTTTGTTTAAACAATTTTGTTGTATAGCGCTTACTTTAGGAGATATTTGGGTGGATCGATTAAAATGGCCCACCCTGTATAATGAAATTGTCATTAGATTTTTCATTACAACTTTCATTTCCGAAATATTAAAATCGGCAAATCTGACAAGGCAGCAAAACTTCAAGATAAAACTAAGCGGTAGTGCCTCAAGACAGTGCCAGTGCCGTATACTCACAAATTATCACCCGATTTTTATATACTTGGCGTCGCGCCGCTATCGCGTCGCTTGATACATAAAGCATATTTTTCACTCTTTTTAACAGCTGTCAAACCGTGAGTTTTCTTGTCTGAATTCAAGGCTTGAGGCTTCACTTTACGCTTTTTATGCTTATTTACTGACTGTGAGGAGAAAAAAATAATTTTCATCCATTTTTATAAGTTTTTTAAAGCGATTCCATTTTTGCATTTTATCTAAATTCTTTTTATTTAAAAATGATACGCAACAAACTTTTATGTATCATTACTCGCTTATGACGTCACTATTTTAATATTGCCGCGGTCAGGTCAGGACTGTCAGAAAAACTTCATATCTTAGAACATAATTACTGGAAGGAGAATTGAGTGCTGAACGTGAAGCCAATATCTGTGAGAGAGAAAGGTATAGGTTCCCAATTGACTGTAATGCGCATTCAGCTCCCACTTAGCCCGTTTTGCCTAATTTCTTAATTTTCGAAAATCTTTTCAAAAGAAATGAAAAACGGGTTGAGTGGGGACTGAATGACACATATATGCGCATTACAGTCAATTGAGAACCTATACCTTTTTTTCTCGCATAGATGTTGGTTTCAGCTCGATACACGGACGGTATAGGCAATTCTCCTTCTAGTAATATATGTCCTAAAGCTGCATATAAAAAATTCAGAAATCTTCGTTTTTAAAATTTTTGAAAATTTTTAGCTGAATACAGAAACTGGCAACACTAATTTGATGGTACGATATTTCCTCATACATCAATCATTAAATATTTATTTTAGATACCGCACTAATAGAAACAATGAATCTTGCAAAATATTTTCTAATGGAGACTTTTATTCAGATTAAATATATTTATTTTATTATTATTAAAAACAAAGAAATTATTTTTTATCAATCATACAAGAATCCTACTTCAATTAATTTTGTTTAAAAAATATTTCGTTGAATTTAACTTTTTTTCTGTATTCTGTAAATGGTTTACTCTGATTATTAATTAAATAATTAAAAAAATAATGGACTAAATAAAAAAATACTGACTACTGAGTAATGAAATAATTAAAAACCTTAGATTTAATAATTGATTAAGTAATTAAAATTATTACATTCTGATTATTAATAAATTAAGTAATTAAAAAACTTTTCATTTAGATTACTAATTAATTAAGTAATTAAGAACTTTTTTATTTTGATTACTGATTAATCAAGTAATTTAAACTTTCATTTAAATTACTAATTAATTGAGTAATCGAAAATTTTTCGATTTTTATTACTGATTATCTATAATAAGTAATCGTTAAAAGCTGAAAATATTGATGACAAAAAAATTGTCTGCATTTAATATTGATTTACGCGATTTACAAAATATTAATTTGCAAGGAACCTTTTATTTATTTTAGTAGCATATATACTTCAGAATTTGTATTTTAACGAGGCTCCGCGTATAAACGTCTTATGTCTATAATTATTACCTATATATCCTATCTTGCACCAAGGAATCCATTATAGTGCCGTCTATCTCGCCGAAAAACTTTCCGGTATGCTCGTGACGTTCACTTATGATGATAAATCCATTGTTATCTAGAATGTAACAGTCAAGCTCCTCCGAGGCGCAATTCTTTTTACATCCTGTCATTCCGGTACACTAAAAACAACGAATTTATATCATCATATTTTGCACGACAATTGTACATGACAAAAAAAATATATCTGCTTACTGTCGAGGTGATGTTCACAAAGTGGGCCGCCAAAGATGAATGTTGAAATTGCAAACCCACTACCGCCGCTGGAGCTTTATGACCTTTTCCGATGAATATGGCATGGGTGGCGGTGACGAGTAGATCACTCATATCGGTTGTATCGGCTAATAATTCAATAATTGTAGAAATAATTGATACACCATCAATCCAATATGTTTTTTATACATACATGTGATAACGTATAACTCAAGCATGACATGAAAATAAAATTTATCTATTATATTATTTAATTATCTCGCACGTAATTTATTTGACTCTGATGATGGACTCTTAATGGCATAAATTTTATTCAAACAGGGAAGAGAATAATTTTTTTATATTCAATTCTGAACTACAAAATACTTCGTCACAATTAAAAAAAAAGATCTATTTCTTACTGGTTAGGGCTTAAAATCCTCATTTGTGAACCGACACTAATATATCGGAAAAGTTTATTCGATTCATACACACATGCACACACACACATACGCACGTACGAACGAACGCGCGCATACATACAAATTTTGTTAAAACTTTTAGTAATTAACAAAATATTACGTATTTACAAAATTACATTATATTACATATTTGATATATAACAATTCGTAAATTATGTTTTAATATACTATATTAGATACAAGTTGTCCCATTTTAAAGGATCCATTAAGATTTCTCAAAAACTATGATAGATACGGAAAAATGTTTCAAATAAAAGTTGTATGACTTCAAGGGGTGACATAAAATTGATGCTATTGGTTTGAACCTTGGGTAGCGTTATTAAGGTCACGGAAAGATCACTTTAAATTTTTAAAATTAAACCCTGTATTTTTCAATGCATAACCATGTAGCTTATCTTGAGAGCTTTTCAACACTATATATATAAAATATGGAATATATAAACGCTGGAAAAGCTGGTCAATGTTTACATAAGGGACAATGTGCTGGCTCGTGATCCTCTACACTCGAACCAGCACGCCGGGCCGGCTACTCGAGTGTTACGGCTCTTCACTCGATTATTTCTGCCATTGAGCAGCAACTTCAGCAAGAGGGCTTTGCAGTAGGTACCTTCCTAGACACTGAGGGAGCTTTTAATAATACCTCACATCGAGTGGTCTGTGCCAAGGCAACGAGACGGGGCGTTCCGGCGAAACTGGTTGAGTGGAATGCTTGGACGGCAGGTGATGACCTTACTAAGAACGGTGAGTGTTGAAGGATGGGTGGGAAGAGGCTGCTCCCAGGGGGGTCCTCTTACCGCTTCTGTGGTGCTTAATAGCAGATAGGTTACTTAGATTGCCTAATGACGAGGACTTCAAATCAATTGGGTATGCTGATGACTTGGCTATCCTAATTCAAGGATCCTTCCTTGAGACACTTCTCGAGCTCACAGGGGCCTCTAGAAGTAGTCGAAGAATTGTGTAAAGAGACGGGTCTGTCGGTGAATCCGAAAAAAACGAGTCTCGTAATCTTCACCCGTAAATACAAGATAGGCTCCGTGCAGGGGCCCGTCCTAGAGGGAGTCAGATTGACACCTCAGGTATCGGTCAAGTATCTGGGAGTTATCCTGGATAAAAGACTGAACTGGAAGCTGCACTTGGAGACAGTGTGCAGGAAAGTCTGCATATAATTTTGGATGTGCAGAAGAACCTTCGGGCAAACGTGAGGCCTGCAGCCGGACAGGGTGTTCTGGGCATACTCTACAGTGCTCCGGCTAAGATTGCTCTATGCGGCGGTGATCTAGTGGCCAAGGGTACAAGTATCCGAGGCCCGGGCATTGCTGAAGCGCGCTAGGACTCTCATTCTTAGAGGTGCCCTGAGTGCTATGAGGACAACGCCAGTGGCGGCAATGGGACTGCTACTTGGCATTAAACCACTTCACTCTCGATAGTAGTGGCCGTTACTGCTTACAGGTTGAAATGCGAGGACAAATGGACGGCGGTTGGTGCGGCCCACATCTAGTTTCTATGGAAGCTTCTGACAGGGACCGTGTTTGAGATGAGGCAAGACAGGATACCAATGAAACGCGACTTTAATAGAGCTTTTAAGATCTATACTCCTAGTCGTGAAGAATGGGAGAGGCATGAGGTGTCCGTCATCAGGAATGAGGACGTCTGACGACACGAATGGCTCCAAGATTGATATGGGCGCCGGTGCTGGGATCTATGGGCGCCGGAAGGGAATCAGGGAGGCTCTCCCACTTGAAGAGCTCACCACTGTTTTCCAAGCGGAGGTGGAGGTAATTGTGGGCTGTGCTCAAGCATGACTGATTGCATCGGAAGAGACGCGCAAGCGCATCAGGATCTGCTCGGATAGCAGGGCGGCCCTAGGTGCGCTGGGCGCTTACGTTTTTGATTCTCGGCTGGTCTGGGAGTGCAAGAATGCGCTGGATCAGCTGTCAGTCAATAACGACGTTGGCTTGGTATGGGTCCCAGATCATTCAGAGATCAAAGGCAATGAAATCGCTGACGAACTAACAAGAGCTGGCTCAACGGCCAGAATGGTGGGACCGGAACCAGCTCTATAGTCGTGCCCAGCTGTGTCGGCAGGGCCGAAATAAGGAGCTGGTTACAGGAACGCCATGCTAACTTTGAGAGGAAAGAGACAAGGACGAAGTGCCGACAGGCAAGGTCTTTGCTAGAAGTACTCAGGAGGGACCTTGCTAGGAATATTAGGGCCTTGAGGAAAAGGGAATCCAGGGCACTGGCGGTGCAGATCTATACGGGTCATGGCTTTACCAATTACCACATGCACGAGCTGGGGCACTGTGATATTCCAGAATGCAGGAAGTGCGGTTTTGACGAGGAGACCAGTCTCCACGTGCTGTGCGAATGCCCGGCCTACATTAGGCACAGGCGGCTTCTATTGGGCTCGGAATTTCTCGAGCCTGAGCAGGTTTAGCAATTTCAAGTCAGGGACTTTTTCTGGAAGAAAACAGGTCTTGGCTGATTTGGAGTTAGTACGACCGAGAAGACATAATGGACTTCATCTGCATGTCATTGGTGAATCTCCGGTAGGAGGCTGCCTCCCGGGAACATTATATACAGGATGGACCATTTTAATTCATCCAGTCGAATATCTCAAAAATCAAGCCCGGGAGAGAAAAATTTTTCAGACAAAAGTTGTTTGGTTTCGAAGGGACCATAAGATGGTACCATTGGTTTAACCTTGAAGAATTATTTAAAAGTCACATGAAAGTCACCTCAATTTTTTTAAATGGCATTCCCTATTTTTTATTACATATTTTTGTAGCTGACCTCGAGAGCTTTCCAAAACACTATAATCAAATGTTTCTTCATTGAATACTTTTCGAGTTATAAAGCTCCA